TAGAGTTGACTTCAGTTGATGTATATCTTAATAGGTAATTTATATGATGTAGCTCAAAAGGGATGTTGACTTTTGGGGCTAAGGCAATTGAGTTAGATAGCATTTAGAGTTAGTGTAAAAAAATGGCTATTGCACTTTTTTTAGGAATGTGACTTTTGTGCTTTTCTTTTGTAGCATTACAAATTGCATCTTGCATTTTGTTATATTCTATGAGATTAGTGAGGTCTTACTAATTCTAACTTAGTCTTGGTAACCCTGTGCCTTGGCTAAGGATGGTGGTGTCCAACTTAGTTGTTTGAGGTTGAAATGTTATACCTGTACTATAGCTTTGTCTATAAAGAGGTTGTGTACTAATATGAGTTTATCTCATGCTTTTCACTTTAGTTTCGATTGAGTGTTAATCATGTATAACTAGCATCTTCAAGGCATGCTCAGAGCTATTGGGTAAAAGCATTAGTGAGCTTATTGCTATGGAGTTAGATTTGAGTGGTCATTTAATTTGTGCTTATCCATGAAGTTTTATCTCATACCTAAGGTATTATGTTTATGTTGGACAAATATATGACTCAATAGCATGAGTTTAGTGTTTGGGTCTTGTGAAAGGCAAGTTGAAGAGTGATTATTGGTTACTTTGCAACTAGTGATTACTTGTAAACTTTGGAAAAAACTGTTAACATTTGCTTTGCTCGATGAAGATTTATCAGTGATAGGCTTACTTTATAGAATGGTGTTGTAAAGGATCATGTTGTTAAACTTACATGGTTTTTCTATGTTGGCATGTTAACACTACTTTTGTCAATATCATTTGGTTGCATTTAATTCGTGGTGTTAGATTTCATTGAGTCTTGGACGTGGTGAATCACTCCTTGATGATGTGTTATATAAAACTGAGTATTATTGAGGGATTGGTCTCAGATACTAATTAAGGTATCTTTGACTTTGGTTAGCTTAGTTGCTAAAGAGTTTTGAATGGTGATTCACTCTTATTTTTTAGTAGCTTTGTTCTGGTGTTGATAGCATTAAATAAATGCTTTGTCATTGACATTGTTGGTGTTAAGACTTGAATGAAATGATATGTCTCTCCATAAGATTAATATTGAGTTTCATTAGTCTTGATATAGATAGTGTTGATGATTTGGCTATAGCTTTATATTATTGGCATTTGTGCAATTGCTGTTAGTAACTGTATTGGTGTCCAAATGAACTAAATAATAAGTTGAGTTAGTTGTGTTCTAGACAAAATTGTTTAATAAAGGTTGAGCTTTAGATTTTTCTTAAAAAGTGATTTGGTCATGGGTTACATTAGTTTTATGAGAGAAAGAGTTAGTGATTGATATTGGAATGTTTAAATCCTTATTAAATTTGAGTTAGAATATATCAATCATTGATAATTCTTTTTGTGCTTGTTATAAAGTGAGTTATGTCTTGCTATAAATGGATTCATAGAGGATTGTTTGGTGATTACTTATTGAGCATAACTTTAATATACTTGGCTTTTATATTGATGCAGACATACTCTTTATTAGCTTTAGCATTATGAAGTTTGGCTTATGGATGTATTGAGAAGGATATAATGGGTTATACCATGATTTTTTTTTTAGCATTGAAGTTAGTTCATATGAGACTTATGATCATTATTAAGCATGATTTGGCTATGGGCTTCTTTGAGCTTTTGGTTGTTTGAGTTTTTATATTTATTATTCTATTTGTTAGAAGTTATTGGGGAAGGCATTTTGGCTCATAGTTTCAGATGTTGAAGTTAGTATTTACATTTGGAAATCATTAGTGATGATTGACTTTAGGATAGTTGATTATCCTTATCAAAGATTTTGCTAAATTATTATTGGTTTTGAATAATTTGCCATTCTTCATTATGGTAGATTGTTTCTTCAACAATGATTATCATTTTTCTATTGATTGGATGATTAATGTTCTTTCATGATAGTTAGTTGTTTTCTTTGATAGTTTATGGGTTTTTCCATTACCATATGTTCTTTATAGTTTGCTTTAGATTGATCTTTTAGGTTTGGGACATTAGTAGGATGTTGTCGATAATTGCTTAAACAACTTAAGTTCCTTCGTATTGTTGATTGAGATCTATTCAAACTAGCTGGTGCAATAATTAGCATGAATGAGTGTTTGTTAATCTTGCCATATTTATTTTGTTCTGTTGATTATTGCTTAAATTAGTTTTGATAGATTAAAATGTTATTTCCTTCGGGTGATACATTTGCGAGGATTTTGCTTATCTATTAATAATACTTTGTATTCTTTGAGCTGTTTTTCGTAAGTTATTTAGCATACTATCTGCAATCTTTAATAGTTGAGTTTTATCATTAAGTTTTTTTTATGATCTACTTACTATTTAATTTTTTTGGATAGTTAATCTTATAACCTTACCCTTTAAAGCTCTTGGTGGTTCCTATACTCTAATATTAGTTTATCAGATGATAACTCATTTAGATTACTTTTGTATTCTAATCTAAGATTGATTCATTGATAATTAAGTTTCTCATATATCATTGTGTATGACTTTAATATTGTTCAATTATTGATCTTTGAGTTTGGGCTAGTATATGCAAACTAGTTTTAGCACTTTGTATGCATAGTGAAATATTTAGTCATGGGGTAGCTACTGTTAATTAGTCACATCACCCACCTCTCTGTCGATATTCCTTATTTCATTAAAAGGGTGTGATAAGGTAAACAACTTTAATTGCTTATTTATAGTAGTCTATCTAAACCTTATTGACAGGTTTAGTTTCTTTGCTCATAAGGGCTAAGGCCTCTAGCTTCTCTCTCCCATGCTAACTAATCACCCCAATCCCAAAAGTTAGTCTCTAGGACAATCATGAAAACTTACTAAATATAGAATGGCATTAGATTGTAAATTTGGAAATAGAAATAACAACATCATATTCAAGACAAGCTCTACATTCCGTAAATATGCCTAACTTGTAAATTGACACTTTCTATAAATAGCCATTAGGATTGAACAAGACTAATACATGGGGCATAATAATGAGAGTGTCTTGGCGGACACAATAATCTATCATTTAACAAATATTAAAGGACCAAATTCAATATTACAAGAGTTCTCAACATTAACAAGTGCAAGTCAATGAATGAGTTTTTCTGACCATGTCAAGTATGCTTGACTAATAGTACTTACGAATTCTGTCCTTATGCTTTTTTGATCAAATGCATATGCAAAGACTAGTTTCTCAACTAACTTAGGTAGAGACTGAAAAAGAGTCTAATAATATCAACCTCCTACGATCATGGTAGTAAAAAAAAATATCTGAAGGGACTACTTGGCAAGTAATTTTCAATACCTACAGTCATATTTACAATATAATAGTACACCTCATCCCCAAAATTCTCATGGAATAAATTCAGTTGGATGAAAAGATTAGTAGTAAAAGCAAAAAAAGTTGCACCATATATCATAAATACCACTATCAATTGTATTTAATTGTTCAACTACAATCACATTATATCAAGCAATTGCACCAATTGCTATTCCAGGTCAAAGGAGGAGGTTTTTGCAAAGGAGTATACTACTTTACCATGAAGATGAATGAAAAGAGGTCTAAACAAAAAATATAAATCCAAGCACTCTTTAAAGACAACTAAAATTGCTCCTCATTTCTAACAATGCAAGTGCATATAATATAAAAATGTGTATATTTTATAAGCCCTAAAACCCTAACTTGTGGTCTAAATTGAAATCAATTTAATAGTTACCAAAAATAATGGTATATAGCATTGGAGCTATACACCTAGACATCACAGATGCTTTTAAATATTATAGATGCCATTTAATTCATGTATATATAAACTTAATAACATATGTAAATAATGGTTCCTATGTATCATAAGAAATAATCATAGAATAAATTCCAAAACTATAATAGTGTTGTTGTAGATAGTTAATAAAAACAAGTTCTTAAACTAAGAAAAAGTTATTACAAAAAGTAGAATGCAAAAGAGAAACATATCTTTATTAAAGAATTTTTTTTCTGTATATAACAGTTAAAATTATTTCTCTAAATTCAGAATATAAGAAATGGTTGAATTACATTATTATTTTTATTTCTGTTTTTCTTTATTTAAAATGTCTATTTCTATGAAATTTAGTTATGCTGGTAGATATAAAATGACAAATGAGAGTGCTAAATTAGTTTTAGAAGCTATGGATTTAATGATTGATGGTATTTCTTCTGAAGAATTACCAAAAGGTCAATGCATGGAATTTGAATTTACAATTCAAGACGATATGCAAGGAAATATGACATGTGTAAATCAATTATGGGTTTATAGTTCTAATGGAAAAATGATTGATACAACTTGCAGTACAAATCTTAATGAATATGAACAAGACCACGGAAATAATATGAGGCTACAATTTAATAACTTATTACAAACATATCGTACTAATATTCAAAATTTACGTCCATTATACTTTAGATTAGTATCTGGTTTATATGCTATTGAGTTCATAGAAAAATATATATATGGTAGAGGAACTCGTAGCATTAACAGCTACACTCTAAATAGTTTATATGATTGTAAAATTTATCAAACTATATTAATTAGTAATATGCCTTTTAATTCATTGAAGGCCTATCAGTTTTTAATATCTCCAAATAGAAAAGCCCATTTATATTTACATATTAACTGCATGTTGGTGTTATATATTAAGACTTCTATAAGATGGTATAAAGGATCAGATTATTTTAAAAACTGTGAATTTAAAATACAGATGGATGGAAATATTGTGTTATATTCTAAAAATAAAGATATAATATGGTCCCCAAATATTTATTGCAAAACTAAAGACTGTGAACTTAAAACATTTCTTTCACTTCAAAATGATTGCAATTTAGTATTATATGAATCCCATCAAAAAACATTTTTAAAACATCCTATATCAAGAGCATTATGGGCTTCAAATACAAGCCCATGTGAATAAGTGACATGTAAACTTTTTTTTTAAAGTAAGGCAATAAAGAAACTACTAGATTGAACTGATCGAGAAAAACTGCTGGAGCACTGGAACACGGAGCTGCTTAAGTTGCTCCAGAGTTCCCGTGTCCACCACAGATCCATCACAGAGAAAAGTGGCTACGTCAACAATGCGCTCTATCTGCTGCATGTTGTGAGAGACTAGAACCACGGTCATACCATCCCTCCGGAGCTCCATCACGGTTTTCTCCACGAGATTGGTCGAGAGTGGATCTAAAGCACTGGTTGGCTCGTCTAGCAGTAGAACCTCGGGCTCGTTTGCCAGAGTCCGAGCTAGCGAGACACGCTGAGCCTCGCCACCAGAGAGCTCCTTCTCGGACTTTGATGCAAACCTTTTGCTTGGATCAGCGATGCCCGCTCGCACGAGAAGCTCCTCGATTCTTTCGTCAGAGAGATGGACTCCTCGAAGAAGCGGGCCATATCTCACATTGTCAGCGACGCTTCCTACGAAACCAAAAAGAAGAAAGATAAAAGGAATGATTGGAGAGAAGAAGAGAAAAGTGACGATCTTACCAGGGAACAAGCACGCAGCCTGGAACACCATTCCAACTCGACGTCTCAGTCCTATAACTTCGAGCTGTGTGATGTCCGCTCCATCCAAGAAAATCGCTCGAGCAGGAGGCTCCCATAGCCGATTCAATGCTCGCAACACTGTCGATTTGCCACTTCCAGAAGGGCCAATGAGGCCATGAATTGTTCCAGCTTTGATTTCCAGATTGATCCCAGACAGTAGCGTCGCGCCATTCGACGCCAGCCTGCGTAGATTGTCGACACGGATCTTAATCACAGTAGCTGCTGCGTCCTGCTCTGCGAAATCTGAGAGTAGATATGAGGCGTTAGATCGATCGCAAGGAACTTACACGAGCATCAGCAGCTCCAGTGGCCTGGGCTGCGCAATAATTTGACAGTTTCCCCGCTGGAGGAGGCCACCATTGCGCTGTGGCGAGGCATCCCCCCAGCATTCTTGCGATAGCCAGGAGCCCTAGCATGGCAGCCGTCCACTTGAACGCATCTCTCCCGCTCATTTCACATTAAGCGCGGATCAATCCAGGCCGTTGAATAAACAGTTTAAACGGACGGCCGGATCGGAATGTTCTAGACGACTAGGCTTCCTCATTTCCATTCTTTCGTTCTATCGAGCTTCGATTTGGAGCTAGCTATGGCGCCTCTCAAAGCGGTGGCTGTTCTTGCCGGGACTGGCGTGTCTGGAGTCGTGAGCTTCGTCGAGGACGGCGAAGGTGAGAGCAATTTCGGCGGAAAAGCCCTATTGATCTGCGAGTTTTGCAGGTACTACGGTGTCTGGAAAGATCACGGGCTTGGTTGCGGGCGAGCACGGCTTCCACGTCCACGCATTGGGCGATACCACGAACGGATGTTTGTCCACAGGTAGGGGTCGATAGCTGGGGAAAGATTTGAGCTTTGAGCTGAAAAAGCTTGTGATTTCTTGTCTAGGCGCTCATTTCAACCCAAATAATCTGGAGCATGGGGATCCAAGCGATAAAATCCGGCACGCTGGCGATCTAGGGAATGTGACCGCAGGCCCCGATGGTAAGTTTCGTCCACTGTAGAGAGCTTTGATTCTGATTTTCTTCTTTTCAGGAGTTGCGGAGTTCGTCATCAAGGACAAGCAGGTACCTTATGCTTTTCATTTTTCCTTCACGAACTTCTCCTCCTTTTTCTGTTCGTTCTCGTGTTTTAGATTCCTCTAGCTGGGGCAAACTCGATTGTGGGCCGAGCCGTCGTCGTTCATGCGGATCGTGATGATCTTGGCAAAGGTTCTTTGATTTTGGTTTTCCACTGTTGGTCTTGATTGTTACCTTCTCGGAGTTTTCAGGTGGACACGAGCTGAGCAAGTCGACGGGAAACGCTGGTGGACGTCTTGCTTGCGGTAAGCTTTTGTATACTTTGATAGAGTATCTCGCTTAAACTTCTTTCAACTCCCACAGGAGTGATCGGACTCCAGGCATCTGCCTGAACGCGAGCGACTTCCCGATCAATACTTCTACTCATATATAAAGAGTTTTTCTGACGAAAGAATAAGTGATTATTTTTTTTCTTTACAGTTCGAATGTGGTGATTGCTTGTACCTGGTCACTGGGGTATTCCAGGAGCGCTGAAGACCTCTCCGGTTTTGTTCGTCACAGGATTTATAGTTGGTTTCCATTCTAAGAATGCTTTTCCATGCTAAGAATGCTGTTGCTAAGCATTTGCTAAGAATGTAAGAACAATTGCTGAAGAACAATCCCAACATGGAGTGTTGCTAGAGGCTTGGTTTTGTACTTAGTACAGCTGTTATTCTTCACATACATTTCCAGAGTTCTATCTTGTTGACATTTTATTTCTTTAGAATTATTGAATAGGATTTAGAATTTCTTTTAATTAATAATAATAAAATTCATAATGTTTAGAAACTTTAATGTTCTAATAATATCATTGTAAAAAAAAATTTAAGATATTATAAAAGATCCAAGTTTTGCACATATTTTTCTATCATTTATAATCTCATATTTAGTAGATACTTAAAATATGCTCTATTGATATGTCTTTAAAATTAATAAACATTAAATTCTATAGTAACTTTTCAGAGAGAAATATTGTTTAAAATATAAAATTACATAACAAGTATAAATTTTTACTAAAAAACTAAAAGTTATAGTACTTTTCTCTTTTATTAAGTATTATTTGGGATCAAACATAAGCCTCACTCTTGTAAATTGCATCACCACTTGGACTCAAATATCTACGAGATGAGTAGACAAATCTCTATTGTTTTCAAGAAAATTGATCCCAATATTTATGATAAATAATGTATGTGACTATTTTTTATAATTATAAACTTTAGAAATATATTTTAAAACTTTATACAGGATTTACATATAAACTTTTAAGTATTTATTTTTGAAAAAGTTTATATATCTATTAAGATGAAAGTATTTTTAATCATAAAATTTTATATTTTAATTTATTTGCATGTGAAATCTATTTCAATGAAAATTACTTATGGTGGTAGATATAATATAACAAAAAAGAGTGTTATATTAAGTTTAAATAGTATAAAACCAATGATAAATAAAATTCCTTCTATAGATATACCAAAAGATCAAAGTATGAAACTTGAATTTACACTTAAAGATGATATACAAGGACCTAAGGAATGTGTTAATCAACTTTTGGTTTATAGTACTAATAGAAAAATGATTGATTTAACTTGTAGTGCAAAAATTGATGAATATAAACAAGATAATGGTGATAATATGAAAATAGATTTACTATCATTTGCATATTCACGTTTTACATTCATCATTTTTCAGAGTAATAGCTGGTTATTATTGTATTGAGTGTTTTGGAAAAGTATTTCATAATCATGGATCTGAAAGTATAGATAAGTATAATTTAGATAACTTACATGATTGTAGGATTTATTTAACAACACTAATTAGCAATATGCCTTTTAATGTTTTAAAAGCATCTGAATTTTTAATATCTCCAAATAGTAAAGCCCATTTATATTTACATCATAATTGTGTTTTAATTTTATATATTAAAAATACTATAAGATGGTATAAAGGATCTAAATACTTTCAAAATTGCAAATTTAAAATACAAATGGATGGAAATATTGTTTTATATTCTGAAAAAAAGATGTAATATGGTCCCCAAATATTTATTGTAAGAAAAATTACTGTAAGATTAAAATTCACTTCAAAATGATTGCAATTTAGTATTATATGAATCTCATCAAAAAACATTTTCTGAGCATCCTATATTAAGAGTGTTGTGGGCTTCAAATACAAACCCATGTGATTAGTTTATAATTATTATTTGGTATTTGCATAAATTCTTTAGTTTGCTTTCTTTGTTTTTAAATGTAATAAGTTCAGGTTTATTTAACAATCATAATTTAACATAAAAAGAAAGCAGTTCATACCATCCTCATGGTTTTCTCAATGACATTGGTCAAGAGTGGAGCTCCATTTGCCAGAGTTTGAGCCAGCGAGCTTCATCACAGAAGCTCCATGGAGCTTCTGTCAGACGGACCATATCTCACATTATCAGTAACATAAAAGAAAAGGAAAAGAGAAAGTAACTATGATTGAATGATTGCTAACTAGAGAAGACTTGGTTGGAATTTTTACTTCAAGCTTGATGTCCAAGAAAATTAGCCTTATAGTAAGCTTGTCACAGGTCAAATGAGATCCATCATTTAGCATTAAGCAGGGGACCATGGTTTGGATCGTCATATGTGAATAAGTAATTATAATTCAGCTTTAGTCAATCTACTCATATATAAAGAATTGTGCTGGCGAAAGAATAAGTGATTATAATTTCTGAGCTTTACAGTTTGAATGTGATGAGTAGTTTCCTTCTTTCTCAGTTTCTTCTTTTTTTAAGCTGCTGCTGCTGGCTGTATACTGCCTGGTAACGCATCTCGGCCATTTATCTCGTGCGATGTCACTGGGGTGTGACCTTCCACGAGATCCAAAGACCTCTCCGACGGTACGTGAAAGTCTCTCAGGATTTGCTCGTTCGCTAACCGAGCCGACTTGGTTTCCAGCACCACCAAGATGTGTCTTTCCAGCTCGAAACGCATGAATTCCTCTGTGCAGGCTGTGGTTTACCAATAAGTTTCAGTGATCAAAGGTAGAAACCACGAGGAACTTACAGTCGACCAATCTAGAGAACTGCCTCAAATTGCGAATTTTCTCCCCGTTGAAAGTCAGCACCTAAGATTCAAGGTTCTTAGTTTTGTCCAAACGAAGACAACACCAACGAGCCAACGCCTACCTCCACGTTCTGGAGATTTTCATAGCCTGCGTTGACAGGATGCGCCAGTACCTAGATAAAATGTTTTGACGTTTGTAGTTAAAAACTAAAAAATGTAGTGTTACCTGTGACATAACTATGACTTGCTGGTCTTCAAACTCCACCATGCCATTCCTCGCGATTTCTCTCAGCTTTCCCTGTTTGAAAGCACATCATTACGAGTAACTCGGCAATACATTACTTACCGATACTTCAGCTTCACCGAGGTCGCACTCCGACCTGGAAACAGCAGAAGTTTTTATTTTTTAAGCAGCTGCTTATACCGACGGAAGCTTACTCAAGGTAAGGAAAGCACAGTGGGACGAAGACGAGGCCCGCAACAATGAAATACGAAGGCATTTTAGATGCTAGGTGAACAGGAACCTGCACAGGACGAGTGAAGAGTACTGAAAGGTGTTAAGAAAGTTAGGTGCTCACCAGCCGAACAGGAGGTTTAAAAACTGTTTGGACTTTCAGTTCCTTCCCATCACGAAGAAGCTCTAATTCTGCTGTTTCGCCTGAGAATCTGCTAGCAAAACCTTGTAAAAAATGAGCAGCAAGGGAAAACGTACAGACATACTTTTGAGTGACAAGAAACTCAAAATCGATTCGTTCCCCTGTCCGGAAAGAAACTGTTCCTTCGTTAGCTATAGGTACACCATCAAAACTTAACAAAACATCGCCCTGTCAAAGAGAAAAGGTCAGAGTCCATTACAAATTACACATCACTTACAGCCTTCACGACGCTGGCAACGGGGGCAAGTGGCTCAACTCTTCGAATAAGCACACCCTGAAACAAAGTTCAGATGCATATATACGGCCATCACATATACCTTCTGCCCACTTTTCATCTTTAACGAGGCTCGCATTGCTGAGTTTTCCAGCTTTTGCCACCAAACGGCTAATGATGGAAAGCCTGATTGCACCGAAAGAAAGTTTAGAACAATACTTTGAAAATGATGTACACTTGCCAGTGTATCTTCCGTTTTGTTCGAAGTCCTTCAAAAAATGAAATATTACAGCTGTGGGAATCACAAAACCAATGTTTTCTACATCCATATCCTTCAATGACTGAAAAGTAAAACGAACTACGGTTGATTGCCACTCCACATAAAACAGAAAGAGAAACCTGAAAGGCGATTCCCACGCATTCACCCTCTTCGTTGAAGGCAGGACCTCCGCTGTTTCCTGGAAAACAATATAAACTTTAGAACCCTTACTTACAACCTCAAAGTTACCAGCATTGATGGCTGCGTCGATCTGGACCCCAAGTAGCTCAGATGCTCCATGTACATAAGACGTTACCTGAAAAGCCAGGCATTTTAACTTTTGATATAACTACCAAAACCTTCTTACTTCTATACGGGAAACCACACCACTGGTCACTGATATGGTTTCACCACCCATTGGGTAGCCCACAACAATCACAGGATCCTAATATGCAGGTAGTCAGGAGATGGACTAAACTTTCAAAGGAACATTTGAAACCTGTAGCCTAGGCAAGCTTCCAAACTTTAAAGGCTCCACAGCTTCCCAAAACTCTTCGCTGTCAACCGTAAGGAGCGCCAAGTCGCAATCAGGGCCCTCAGCAAGAACCTGATGGAAAATGATCCCAATCGTTTTAAGAAAATTTAAGATGCGCACTCACCCTGGCAACAAACTTGGTATCGTCTCCACGCTTTTTTACTTGCACCTGTAAATTTTCAGTGAGAAGAGAAAACAATCAATTAGTAAGGCGTACTTGTGTGTGGTGCTCGACACAGTGTGCATTTGTCAGCAACCTTCGGCCAGATATGACGAAACCGCTGCAACAAGCAAACTATCAAAGTTAAGTTTTCCTTTCCAAGGTTTTCGGAGTACCTGCCAGTGCTCATGAACTGCCGTTGCTTTTGCCAAGGAAGAGAATAATCTGGTTCAGAGTGAGTGCAGTACACCTGCGTAAGAGGAAGACTGCATGCTCAATTGTTATCCGCTGGGATGGCTTGGAGACGAATGAAAGAATAAAATGCCAGCACCTTTACAACGCCATCCAGACAGAGATTCTCTTCGATGTCGTCTTCGCCGTCATCGAGCTGTTAAAAAGATGCTCGTAAACTTTCGTGAAAGAAAGAAGAAATAAGAACACCGCAAACCTGGTAGAGATCTTCTAGCCAAACGCTCGTGTCTGAAGCCTCGAGAATGTCTAATCCTTTCTTTTCCCGCTCGTCATCTGAACCTTCGCTTTGGTCCTGCTCCACTTCGATAATGTTCTTCTTACGAGCCTCTACAACAAAAACTTTGGATGAACTCCTCTGGTTCAAGGAAAAAAAACCATGGTGAGTCATAGAAATAACAAGGGAAGGAAAGGTATCGTGAAACTTACAATGCGCTTAAGTCTAGTCCCATCCAATCTCGTTCCAGAGAAACCTGACGCCAAGCAATGCTTCCTCGCGCATTGCCTGTGACACAATCTACCGCTGCTGCTGCTGGCTCCCTGGCTCAACCTCAGCAGAGACGATGGAACAATAACCGGCAAACAAGCACGCACGGAATCCAATGCTGTGAAGGAAGCAGTCACGCAAGCCATCCTTCCGTGAAATCCAGCTCAATCTCTGGAGCTCAGACGCTGGCGTGTGGAATCGCCATTGCGAATTCGATTCCTACGCACTTACAGCGAGAGGAGATTGGAAGCCGCCGCATTCCAGCCGCATTGCGCATTGCCGCCAAGCCCTAGGGGCTTGCAAGAGCGAAATAGAGAATATTCATATCCATTATTCTTCCAGCAAAGGTAGAAAATTTAATCTAACCTTTGGTATAAACATCACTTAACGAAACAATCTCCACCACAGGTACACGATCATGTACCGTGTTGCTTTGATTTTGTTTCTAGTTCTTTGTTCTTTACGTATACATACCTTTGGTTTCAATCTTCGCAAAGGCTGTGGAATCCCATGTATTCCCCTGCGATGTATCTTCTAATGTCCGCGAAGCCTCCAATGATTCCTGAAAATTGTTCGTGGCACAGTCAGTTTTTTGACAGTTTGATCGAGGATTTCCACAAACCCAGAATGATGGCACTTGATCCGATTATGGCCGCCAGGATAAAGATGATGAACGAAGTTCTTCCGTATCTCCGGATGAACAGTTTGGTTGCGTGGAGGCCAACCAACGCTGCGATGCCGCATAGCGTGGTGAAATATGCAGCTGCCAGTGAAAGGAGGTGGTGTTTCGTTAGAAGACGAGAACAAAGATTGTCGCGTACCAAATCTGACTGGAAGTCTTCCCAGAAGATAGAACTCTACAACGGACATGGATGAGGAGAAGACAACGATAAACGTCGTGGTTGCGGACGTAACCTGCGAAAAGAGAAAAGGAATCCAAGCTCTGGTAAGACTCTCGAGTCTTTGGGAAAGTTGTCATACCTGTGGGATTATGCCGAGTTCCAGAAACAATGGCGCCAGTATCATCCCCCCTCCAATGCCTAGCAGCCCGCCAACGACACCGGCGAGTACCGCATAAAGAGGATACAAAAAGAGCTGCTCGCAAGTTGGACCCGAAGCTGGCTTTTCTTTCCCGAAATCTCCTCGTCTGTAAATCCTCCACACTCCAATTGCGGTTGCTCCGATTGAAACTGGGGCCTGTGTTTTCACAAGCAAAAGTTGAGAAAATGCCACAGAGAAAGATACTTACTTGGAGGACAGTCAGAATCCAATAAAGACGTCCACATGTCGCGGCACCAGACTACAAAATGAGACCAGTCATGCTCAATCATACACAAAAGAGAAATCAAGTACCTTCAGCAATTGCAGAATGAGATAGACCGTCCACACAGTACAAAGGAGACAGATGTTGGCCCACTTGATCGAAGATGGTAAGCCTTCCTGCTTGAAAAATATATCCACATCATCAGGACAACATTTTTTAACAGTGCGATGCTTACTGGAGCACATTGCTCGGACTTCGCTAGCAGACCCTGCTCCAAAGATGACGATGGCTCCGTCCGGGAATTTGAGACAAAACCTACACAGGCATGGGCAAGTTGTCATAAACAAATGAGTCGTGCGCTACCTTCTTCCCCGGTGTCACAACAGTGGGCCTAGCAACAGAAACACGACTTTGTTCATTTTTGTCTACGCCAAAAGAATAGGAGCAAACCTTTTGCTCAGATTCCGTGCTCCAGGTACATGCACCTTTGTTGAACGTTTTGAATGCCATACCTGCAAAAAACAACCAGTGGGAGCGGCTCATATTGTGCTTGCTCTAGAACGAAGCATGAAATAAAATCATGGAGGAAAGAAAAAAAGTCGTGCTTACCAGTAAGAACAGCGACGAGCAGAACTGTGAGGATCCAGTCCGGGAACATCACATTGCACATAACTCCGATGCTAATTCCCAGTAAAAGCATGGGCTGTATGAGAAGCGCAAGGTCGTAGTCTATGAGCGGCTTGTCAAGCACGGGATGCTTGGATGGTAAGTTGTAGAGAGCTGAAGCAACAGCACCGCCCATAATCATCGCTGCACCAAGCAGCAAATGTAAAAAGGAAGAGACTTTCACCTTCGAACGAAGGATAGACAAGAACAAAAGGAAAACTCTACTCACATTTCGATAGAGCTGCCGAGGTCTTCACATCGAATCCAATCAAGAGCCGAAACAAGGGAACGAAGAGGCCGCCACCGCCGACGCCGGCCGCGTTTGCAAACATCGCTCCAAGAAACGCCACGACAGAGCCTAGTACCATTCTCCAGTTGAGAGAAAACGCCTTGCGACAGCCAAGGACGAGTCTGAGAGCTTCCATAGAAAAGCTGGATCGAAATGCGGTGAAATCGCGCTTACCGGCCAAGATCGCGAGGCAGGGAACATCGCTTCCAGCTTGTGCGCGGTATTCTCGACCCAGCTTGCCTCGGACGAGCGCTCCCGCTGCGCCGCCGCCGCCATCGCCACGAAATATAGCAGCGGCATCAAAGCCCCAAGCGCCCGCGGGCGCAGCGCCGCCATGATCGATCCACTCGCAGCGATTGACGAACTAGGGATTGATCGATCGCGGGCGCTTTTCCTGGACAAGAAAACTCCAAGGAAACAATTGTGACACCCTCATTACATCAGTAATAGTTTATTTGATGACGTAAAGCATATTCATACGGAATATTCTTTAGGGCTAGCAGCCAAGAGAGTTTGCCCTAGGTTGCGCCAAGAGCGTTTGCCCTAGGTTCTTTGCGAGGAGCTGCGCCGCGATCTTTTTGCAAGGTACTGTCTGGAGATCTAGCAGCAATGCCGGCGCCAGTGCTGGTTCTCAATGAATCGACCAAGCGCGAGACGGGGAGCAAGGTCTACCACGCCAACATCCAGGCGTCCAAGGCCGTGGCGGACATCATCCGGACGACTCTGGGCCCAAGATCCATGCTCAAGATGCTGCTGGACGCCTCGGGGGGGATCGTGCTCACCAACGATGGAAATGCGATCCTCCGGGAGCTGGACGTGGCTCACCCGGCCGCCAAGATGATGCTGGAGCTCAGCCGGACGCAGGACGAGGAGGTGGGCGATGGCACCACCTCGGTCATCATCCTCGCCGGGGAGATGCTCTACGTCGCGGAGCCTTTCCTGGAGAAGCTCTTCCACCCCACCGTGATCTGCCGCGCCTTCGCCAAAGCTCTCGAGGACTCGCTGGCGGTGCTCGAACAGGTTGCGTTCCCGATCGACGTGAGCGACCGGGAAATGCTGCTCAACATCGTCCGGAGCTGCATTGGGACCAAGTTCACGAGCCGGTTTGGAACTCTCATCGCGGACCTGGCCATCGACTCGGTCAACATGGTGGCGATCGATCTCGGCAATGGTCTCAAGGAGATCGACGTGAAGAAGTACATCAAGGTGGAGAAGATCCCCGGCGGCCAGCTCGAGGAATCGAAAGTTCTCAAGGGCGTCATGTTTAACAAGGACGTGGTGGCTCCTGGCAAGATGCGACGACGCATCGTGAGCCCCCGGATCGTTCTCCTCGACTGCCCGATCGAGTACAAGAAAGGCGAGAACATGACCAACGCGGAGCTGATGAACGAGGAGGACTGGAGCACGCTGCTCAAGCTGGAGGAGGAGTACATCCAGACGATGTGCTCGCAGATCGTCAAGTTCAAGCCGGACGTGGTGATCACGGAGAAGGGCCTGAGCGATCTGGCGTCTCACTACTTCAGCAAGGCGGGAGTGAGCGCCATCAGGAGGATCCGAAAGACGGACAACAACAGGATCGCGCGGGCCTGCGGAGCCACCATTGTCAACCGGCCGGAAGAACTCCAGGAGAGCGATGTTGGGACCGGGGCCGGGCTCTTCGAGGTCCAGAAGATTGGCGACGAGTTCTTCACCTTCATCACCGACTGCAAGGATCCAAAGGCGTGCACGATCCTTCTCCGTGGCGCGAGCAAGGACGTGCTCAACGAAGTGGAGAGGAACCTCCACGACGCGATGGGAGTCGCCAGGAACGTCATCCGGGACGCAAAGCTCCTCCCGGGCGGAGGAGCCACCGAGATGGTGGTGTCGGCCGCGCTCAAGAAGAAGGCGTCGTCCATCGAGGGCGTGGAGCAGTGGCCTTACAAGGCGGCGGCACAGGCTTTCGAGGTGATCCCACGGACTTTGGCACAGAACTGCGGTGTCAACGTGATCCGGACGATGACGGCTCTCCAGGCCAAGCACGCCGACGAGAACAACGCCAACGTCGGGATCGAGGGCCACACCGGGAAGATCACGGACATGAAAGAGGCAGGAGTTTGGGACTCGTTTGGTGTCAAGGCTCAGACGTTTAAGACGGCGATCGAGGCTGCTTGCATGCTTCTCAGGATTGACGACATTGTGAGTGGCATCAAGAAGAAACAGACTGGGCCGAAAGCCAAGACGCCAAAGACTCAGATCGAGGATGACAAGGATGTGGATAGTGAGCAAGCTATTCCAGAGTGAAAAGAAGTTTACGTAATTTTACTCTCTTTTTTTTTCATTTCTTTTTTTCCTTTTTCCCAGTTTCCAGTTTAGCTTGTGTTTAAAATCTTAAAATTACATGGCCTCCCAACAGACATTGCCTACCAGGTTGAGAAAGTATTTTTGATCCACGTATTATCAATACAAGATTGCCTTCTGCAGGATCTCTTGCTGGATCTCTAGGGCAACATCGGGATCCATTCAGCTGTTCCACCACCATCTATGAAATTCACTATCTGCACATACAGCAAGAATTAAGAATATTTCATGATATCCTTACCATTATTGTCTATACCAAGTGATTTGCCCAATATCCTTTTAGATCAAAGGTATAAGATGACTCCTAACAATTGCTCTAGCCATGCTGTGTATTTTCTTCTACCATACATTTTGTCATTCTAGCCTTAAACTTGCACATAGAATTTAACAAATTTTTACAATTAATTGTATGTTTAATTTCGATAAATTGTAAATTTAACATTTGAGTCCAAGAATTAAGAGAATAAACAACATACTTTGAGTTGAAAAGAATTTTTAAACATTGAAAGCATAAATATACATATATTACTTAGGATTCTTTCTCTTTTTGAAGTGTTGATATAAAGCTTAATCACCTTTGTCAAAAAAGCTCGTCTTAGGCAGAAAACACAATGTGGCTATTCACAGATTGAGCCAAATGAATTCGCAAAAGCAAGCACAATAGCACACCTTAGCCCATTTAAAACTGAACATTATTTTGGCTAAAGCTGGCAATCTTGTTTACTGTCCCACTACCAAGCAATGCCCATTAGTTCAAAGACTTATCTTAAGTTTTTATGGAGATTGACACATGCATTTGGAATGTGATCACCAGATTTGTTCAGAACTCTCTTTGCAGAGCCAGCACCTCAATGTGTATTTATATAGTTAAAATTAAGTTCATTTACTCCACGCCACAACAGCTCCATTTAAAGATTGAGAGTGATCCCTATCCTCAGCAGGGATTTAAGATAGAGGGAACGAACAACAATTTCCCAATTTGATTCTTGCCTATATGTGTAAAATTTCCTTATCATCTCACAACAGCAAATGGCAAGTGGCGTGAACAGCTTGGCGGAGACAAAACTTATTATGGTCCCAATCTGACAATTGTTATTCGCTGGCTCCTCCTTATTATTAGATTCATTGTTTAAGGTGAACTGTGCGAATTCCATAATATAAAGAACCTTTCATACAATAGTTTCTAGTGAAAGGGCTAGTGAAAGAAATGGAAGATGCCTTGGCTGAAAGATTGTCTCGAGTTAGCAAGTTTGATTTGCCTTCCATCCCTTGCAGCATTCCCTTGGAATGTCATCCTGAATTCACTCGGATATCTGAAGTTACTGATGCATGGGCTATTAGAATGTTGGGTATCACTGATCCATATGAGAGAAAGAAAGCTATTCAGGCAAGATTCGGTTTGCTCACCGCACTAGCTACACCTAGGGGAGAGAGCAGTAAACTCGAGGTTGCATCAAAGCATTTCTGGACTTTTTTCGTTCTAGATGACATTGCCGAGACAGACTTCGGTGAGGAAGAGGGGCAAAAAGCTGCTGATATTTTGCTTGAAGTTGCTGAGGGAAGCTATGTTTTTAGTGAAAAAGAAAAGCAGAAGAATCCGAGCTATGCCATGTTTGAGGAGGTGATGTCGAGCTTCCGCAGTCTCATGGATCCCCCACTGTTTGCTCGCTACATGACTTGTCTAAAAAACTTTCTGGATTCTGTGGTGGAGGAGGCCTCTTTGCGATTTGCCAGATCCATTCCAAGCCTTGAGAAATACCAGCTGCTCCGGAGAGAGACGGTCTTTGTTGAAGCGTCCGGAGGTATTATGTGTGAGTTTTGCATGGATCTCAAGCTGGATAAGGGTGTGGTTGAATCCCCAGAATTCGTAGCCTTTGTCAAGGCAGTGGTTGATCACGCCGCCCTTGTCAATGATCTCCTTTCCTTCCGATACGAGCTGAAAATCAAGTGCTTCCACAACTATCTCTGTGTCATCTTTTTCCACAGCCCGGATAATGCAAGTTTTCAAGAGACTGTCGACAAGGTATGCAAAATGATCCAGGAGACCGAAGCTGAGATTTTGCAACTCCAAAAGAAGGTGATGAAGATGGGCGTGGAAACTGGGAACAAAGATCTAGTGGAGTACGCAACATGGTATCCTTGTTTTGCATCTGGACACCTTCGCTGGTCGTATGTCACAGGACGCTACCATGGACTTGACAATCCACTGCTGAATGGTGAACCATTCCATGGGACCTGGTTTTTACATCCAGAAGTCACTCTCATGTTGCCATTTGGAGCCAAATGTGGTGATCATCCATGGATTGCAAGAAGCTAGGGATATTGGGAAATAATAGGGTGGTATTCATGTGAAGTTGGAGTATTTATAATATTGAATCTTTAGCATATCTCCTCTTATGGTTACTATAAGACATGCTTTGCAACGAGTTTTTTACTTTCCAACGTTTTTTTCAACGAGGTGGAGAGGAATCTCTTCAAGAGTGTCATGGTGGGAAGAGCCACCTAGATGGTGGTGTTAGCTGCTCTCATAAAGAATGGCCTTCATCAAGGGTGTGGAGCAAAGTGTCATATAGACTTTTGAGATACACATACACACACAAATATATATAATGTCGTATACTAATATTAATATTTGTACACTAAAATTAATTTAGTGGGATTTTGATTGTTGTCAATTTAGTTTCAATTTGGACCACTTATTCTTTTATTCTTGTATGTAAGGGTTTTTAGGCTAATAAATATGCACATTTTTATATTTCAGTTCAATATTTGTATTCAAGGTAACTTTGATTATCCTTAAAAAGTGCTTGGATTTAAAATTTTAGTTTAGATTTAACTTTTGCATTCTTTAAATTTTATTTTCCTTAGTTTTTTTAAAAATTTCTTTCTCTTTTGATTTTTCATTTTTTATTCATCTTTATGATAAAACAACAACCTCCTCCTTCTTTAATTCTGGAGTAGAAGTTAATGTAATTGCTTGATATTATATAGTTGCAATTGAACAATTAAATTCAATTGATAATGGTATTCATGATGCATAGTATAACTCTTCTTGCTTTTATTGTCAATCCTCGCATCCAATTAGAATTCTTCCATAAGAATCCTAAGGATGATGGGTATTATTGATTCAATTAATTTATGGTGATTGCTATGTATCATTATTAGTATGATGTTTGGCATATACATGAGTTTCCCAAGGACAATGATGTAGTGGTATAATAGTTTGAGCATGTGGATTAGAATATTCTTCCAAACATCTTCAAATATATATTTGAACATACCAACAATTATAATGATACCTTCAAAGAATTGCATCATTTTTGTCAAAGCCATTTAAGTTAGTAATGTAGTTTGACATTCATTTTCAGAGCTTTTTACTTCGTGTAGAGCTAAATATGTTAGAGTGGATCAAATTAAGAATATTATAGTCAATAATTCATCAAAATTTTGTAAATTTATGTATACACTTGCTTTAGCCACCCTTGATAATATTCTTCATTTGACACAACATTATGAAATATTACTTCTTCCACTTCTCATTACACATTCTTTGGTTTCACTTTATGTAGAAGATGGTTCGGTTCTAATAAAGGTTGATGCTATTGTTGTTTGAATTTAAAGAGTTAATATTATTACTATTACTTCTCCCTTTTGTTTTATACTTCATTATATTTTTTCAATTCCTTTTATTTATGTTCCTTTTATCCTTTTGTTTTTACATATACTTTCATCACTTTTTGTCTTCCTATTATTTTCTCTTATATTTTTATTTTATTCCTTTATTTCCTCTTCAGATCCCTTTGACGGCATTTATGTTGTAGTGGTTGACCGACTCATGAAGATGTATGTTAATTTCTTCGAACTTAACAAATTGTTTAGGGCCAAGATTGCAACACATCATTTTATTCCAATTAAGGATGGTTATCTAATTAAAGTTCTTATTTGTCGTTAGTCATCAAAAGAAATTAAAATTTTACATGCAAATGTCAAAAAGATGTTGAAAAAGGGTGTTATCTCAAAATTGTGGAATCATTAATTGTGTGAACTTTATCTTGTGATAAAGCCTAATAGAAGTATTCATTTTTACATTAACTATCATTTATTAAACGGAGTTACTATCTTGGATGTATATTTTATTTCTCACACTATTAATTTCTTGAATTGTCTAAAGAAAAATCATTAATTCACCAAGTTAGATATTGCCTTTGGGTACTAGCAAGTGCCAATATTTGAGGAGGATATTCCTAGACTGTTTTTTATATATTATTTGATTTATGCAAGTTTTTAGTAATGTTATTTGGTGTGAATAATGCTCAAGCAACTTTTTAGCGAATAATGGATGAAGATTTTTGTGATATGCTGAAGGTAATTGCTAACTTCATTAATAAATTTAGAGGGATGTGAGAGGCACATGTCTATGATGTTCATACAATATGTATATAAAAGTTATTTTTGCTGCATCTTCATTGTTTTTGCCCTTGCATTCCTTCACACATACTTTGAATAATGTAAATTGAATTCAGATAACTTAATGTTTTATCCATTATAAGACAAGATGGAAAATGTCTTGGCTGAAAGATTCACTAGTCTAGAAATGCTTTGATGCAACCTCCAATTGTAACTAGTGGGCTGAGCAAACCAAGTCTTCCATGAATAGCTTTCTTTCCTTCATATGGATCACTGTTCTAATGGCCCATGCATCTCTTTTTGTTGAAGATGACATTGCTGAAACGGACTTCAGTGACAGAAGAGGGGCAAGAAGTTGCAGGGGGAAGCTATAACTTTAGTGAAAAAGAGAAGCAGAAGAATCCTAGCTATGCCATGTTTGAGGAGGTGATGTTGAGCTTCCGCAGTCCACTGTTTGTCTGGATTCTGTGGTGGAGGGGGCTCTTTGCGATTTGCCAAATCCATTCCAAGCCTCGAGAAATACCAGCTGCTCCGGAGAGTTGAAGCATCCGGAGGGTGGAGTATGTAAACATGGTATCCTTGTTTTGCATCTTACTGTAATTAGGGCAACTGATTTAGGGCCGATGGATCTCGTGGATCTTACAGGGGATGGAGGAGTGATGAAGAGAATTGTCAAGCGCGCAAGGCCGGACGCATTGGCTCCGTCGGATAGTCTTGCAGTTGTGGATGGTACGTTTAATTTGTACAACCTCAAGTAAAATGTCTCTTCTCGTTTTGTTTGGCTAGTTCACTACGAAGGAACACTGGCCGCTACTGGAGCGGTGTTTGATTCCAGCCGAGAAGACAATGCGGTGTTTACCTTTGAGCTGGGGCGAGGCAGCGTGATCCGGGCGTGGGAATGCGCAATTAAAACTATGCAGGTAAAGTGGCATTTTTTATCTTTAGAGTGAAGTACATGGTTGATTCTAAATAGCTTAAAGGTTGGCGAGATTGCGGAGATCATTTGCAAGCCCGAGTATGCTTATGGCTCGGAAGGATCGCCTCCAGAAATTCCACCAAAGTGAGAGCTTGAGAGTTTTCTTTGAGATCTTGTTCGATGGTTTTGCTTGCAGCGCGACTTTGGTGTTTGAGGTGGAGCTCATGGATTGTAAGCCACGAAAGGGATCGACCGTGAATAGCGTGGTGGCCGAGAAAGCCAAGCTCGAGTAAGTCCCGCAAACTGGATTGAATCCATGGTTTTTCTCATGGGTGCTTTTTCTCAAAACTTTTGTAGCGAGCTGCGAAGAGAAAGAGAAGCCGCCGCAGCGATCCGCGAGGAAGAGAAGAAGAAACGCGAGGACGCCAAGGCCGCCGCCGCCGCGCGCCTCCAGGAAAAACTAAATGCCAAGAAAGGGGGCAAAGGAAAATCCTCCAAATCCAAGGCCTCGCAGTAAAAATGCCCGCCAGGAATGACACGCGGCAAGTTCTTGATGCTTTCCCGCCCAGCACAAAAACCCTAAAATTAGGGTTTGTGGGATTTTCGCGATGTTTTCCTCGCAAGTGGGCACGGAGCCGCCTCCGCGCAAGCGGGCGAAGATCTCGGCCGAGAGGTGAGCGTGTTCTCCTTTGATCTTGGCCAGGATTTTGAGAGCGCCTGGATCGCTGCAGGGATCACGATGACTATATGCGAGGAAATATCACCCAAATTCGTGTCCACAACTTCATGACTTACTCCGACATCACGAGCAAGCCCGGGCCGCGGTTGAATCTCGTGATTGGGCCGAATGGAACGGGGAAGAGCTCGCTTGTGTGCGCTCTCGCTATTGGGCTCGGTGGAGAGCCACAGGTATGGAAGGGGAAAGAACCCTCTTTTCTTATGATCCTGTGGTGTTTGTAGCTGCTTGGTCGTGCTGGGCATATTGGGGACTATGTGAAACGAGGGGAGGATTGCGGCTGGGTTGAGATCACACTCCGGGGTGACTCACCGGATGCTTCGACGATCATTAAGCGGAGTTTCAACAAGCAGAACAAGTCAGAGTGGCAGCTGAATGGTGAGTTCTTGGGCATTTGTGTTTTTGGGATCAACCTTTGGAGATTTATGATTATAGGAAGGTCGTCAACGAAGAAAGCTGTGCTCGAGAGTGTGCAGCAGTTTAACATTCAAGTCAACAATCTTACTCAGGTTTGGAGTTTTATGGCGTCTTATTGCTCACTTCCCGTTTGTAGTTTTTACCACAAGATAGAGTCTGTGAGTTCGCAAAAATGACTCCAATTGAGCTACTGGCGGAGACAGAAAAAGCTGTAGGGGATCCAGAGCTTTCTCACCAACACGAGAAGCTTGTCACGTTAAATCAGCAGCTCAAGCAGCGCCAATTGGTCAGCTTCAGATGTTTTTTTTTTCTTTTCCGTATGAACTTGTGCGGCTTGTGCAGTCTGTCAGGCAGCTTGAGAACGCATTAAGGCAACACAGGAGTAACAACGCTGAGCTTGAGAAAGACGTGGAGCGGGTCCAGGAACGAAATAGATTGCTTGAGAAAGTAAGTTTCGTACTTTTCCTGAATTACTGCTCACACTATCACAGGCAGAATCGATGAGCAAAAAACTTCCGTGGCTCATGTATGATAAAGACAAAAATATGTATGTGGAGGGCAAGAAGAGATTGAAAGCCGCCGGGGAAGTTCTAAAAGTTTTGACGGAGCAGTTGGCGGGTCTGAAGCGTCCAATCGAGTACGTATTATGAAATGGAATTTTCCAACTAATGTTCTTTTACCAGCGATAAAAAAAAGAAGAAATCGACAGCAGAATCTGCGCTCAGAAAGCTTCGTGAAGAAATATCGAAATCCGAGGTGAAGCGGAGGGAGATTGGGAAGAAGGAGACCGATTGGGTAACTTCTCTATGTTGCCAAGACAGCTGATGGTAGTTTTTCTTTTCGGGTGCAGAATGCTAAGGTGAAGGCGAAACAGAGTCATATTGAGGACGCTCAGCGAAATGAAGCTAACCGTGTTGAAAGAATTCGTAATAATAGGCGTCAGCTTCAAGAAGCTGAAGACGAGCTAGCGAGATTTCCAGATATTAAGCTACAGACAGAAGAAACAGTATTGATCTTTCTTATTTGTGCTGGTTGAGCATCTCATAGTCCTGAATTTGCAGGCTGAACTTTGCCAAAGGATAACAGATCTGGAGGGCCAAGCCCAGGATAAAAAGCGTTTGGTGCAAGAGCTGGAACGTTCTCAAAACCATAGGAGGAGGGACATTGAACGATGGAATAACAGGTGGTTTCCCAGCAACGTATATTTTTTTTATATAACCCATTTTTGACAGGCTTTCGGAGATTGCCAATGTTACAAACCAGCGTTTGGATCTTCTGAAGCGCTACGGGTGTCCACAAATTTATGAAGCTTATCGCTGGGTTGAGTCGCACCGACAGGAGTTTAGACGTGAAGTCTATGGTCCGGTTCTTGTTGAGGTGAGACAATTTTGTCGTGCATGATTGCAAACTCACGCGAGATGACTCCAGGTGAACATCCCGAACAAGGATCTGGCAGCTTATGTCGAAGGCCAAGTAGCCAATTATATATGGAAGGTGAGAGTCTGTTTTCTCCAAATATTTATATCAACTATTCTGGCAGTCCTTTGTGACTCAAGACGCACAAGATCGAGATCTTCTCGTCAGAAACCTAAAGCAATATGACGTACCCGTGATTAATTTCACTGGCGATGAACCCCCTGTTCCAGGCATGAGAATTACACCACAGGTAAAATGTGGCTTTCCATGCTGCCTGTGCTGACATCTTCGTAGGAAAAAGATGGAAAGCCTTGGGGTTTCTGGAAGACTGGATCAAGTTATCGCTGGTCCACAAGTCGTGAAAGACGTTCTTGTTGGACAGTTCGCCTTGAACTATTCTGTATGTATTTACTGTTTTTCTATACATTTTGCTGACGACGTTTCATCAGTTTATAGGTTCTGCCGAAAGTAATATACGAGCCAACGAAGTAAATGGGCTAGGAATCAAAGACCTTTGGACTCCAGAGAATCACTTTCGATGGCAAGAATCTAGATATGGAGGGCACGTTTCAGCCAGTGTGAATCCTGTTCGACCAGCTCGAATGTTTTCGCCTAGTAAGCTCAGTTCCTTTGGTTATCTCGCGGTACGAAAATTCTTGCTGCAGGTGTGGATACAACAGAATCGGAGGAATTGCAGCGCAGAAAAGTTGAAGCAGAGAGTGCTCTAGCGCTATGCAACAACGATTTGAGGGCGCGCGCAAGTGAACAGCGAGAGCTGGAAGATCAAGCAGCGGAGCTACATAGACAGAGAGTATGGCCTAGATATTGGTTGTTTAATGCTTATCACTGATTTTTGCAGGAAGCGATTGTGAGAAGAAATCAAGCTGAAGTGAGGCGACGAAAAGACTTAGAACTAAAAATAGGTGCGCTCTGTTCTTCAACATATTCTCTACTTGAAACACTTTTGTGCAGACCAACGACGAAGAACACTAGCTTCGAGTGAGAACGAGGAAGACCTGCAAATTGTGGTTGACAGGCATCGATTTACTATCAAGGACTTAAACTTGAAGCGTTGTAGCAAGGCGATAGAGCTAAAGGCAAGCCAACCTGTGTTTGTTTATCTGACACGACTGAATGCTGATCCACAGGACATTCTAATCCATACTGTCAACGTCCAAATCAGCCATAACATACAATATCTGGAGTCGATGGAGCTCGATGCCGAGGTGAGGCAGATGGAGAGGGATATTAGAGCTCAGGAGACACGAGGTGCTCAAGCGCAAAGAACCTGGGACGAATGTATTGTGGACGACCTTGGCCATGAGAAGTGTTTTCTAACCGTATGTGATCCGCAGGTAAAGTTGAGGTCGAGAGCTTGAAAAGTTCTCTGGCAAACGCCAAAGAAATAGCTGAAAAAAAGGCGCCGCTTACTCCTGAGCTTCAAGCAGCTTTTGCCGAAGTAAGTTACTGAACCCTTTACAAATGTGTTTTGACGTAATGACGTTTTTCAGATGCCAGATACGATTGAGGACTTGGAAGACGCAATAGAGACAGCTAAAGCTCAAGCGCGGGCTGTTATTTTTTCGAACCCCAATGTCTTGGAAGAGTATGAACGCCGCTGCGAGCAGGTCCTATCCACTCTTAGATGGTTTCACTCATCTCATATCAACTTCTGACAGATTAAGAGTGGCACTGCAAGGCTGGAGGTTGAGACTAACGCACTAAACTCTTGTGTGGAGGAGATGAATACGATACAGGTGACCATAAAAGCTCGGGTATATTTCGTGGTACTAAAAGTTTTCTTACAGTCAACGTGGTTAACAACCTTACGGGAAATAGTGGCTAGAATTAACTCCACTTTCAGTAGGAATTTCAAGGAGATGGCTGTTGCAGGCGAGGTTTCATTAGGTAACTGGGATTGTCGCTCTTTCTTGTTTTAAACATTTTCTTTCTGTAGACGAGCAAGGGACCGATTTCGATAAATATGGCATTCATATCAAAGTCAAGTTCAGGTATGATTTAAGTTATCTGTGGCTTTCGTTTGACTTTTTCGTTCAGAGAAACGGGAGAACTGCAGGTTTTGAGTGCACACCACCAATCTGGAGGGGTACATAATTTCCGTGATTAGTAACCTTGGTTTGTGGATTGAGTCTCGTTTTCAGGAACGCTCGGTGTCAACTATTCTCTACCTTGTCTCACTCCAAGACCTTACCCACTGTCCGTTTCGTGTTGTGGATGAGATAAACCAAGGTATCCTGGCTGAGCTTTCTGGTTGCGAATCTTTAACAGGTTTGATCAGGAATGGATCCCTTCAACGAACGTAAGATGTTTCAGCAATTAGTGAGAGCTGCAAGTCAGCCCAACACACCCCAGTAAGGAGCTAGTTTTTCCTTCGGTCTGCATTTAACTGTTTGTTTTCAGGTGTTTCCTTCTTACTCCTAAACTTCTTCCGGAGCTTGAATATTCAACAGCGTGCAGCATTCTATACATCATGAATGGACCTTGGATAGCAGCACCTTCAGAAGGTAAAACCATGAGACAATTCATTCATTGTCTGACTGGTTTTACAGTGTGGAAGAATGGGGAAAGGTGGTCTCGGCAGTTTGCCTCGTCCTCTTAGGTATTTAAAGTAAATGTCAACCAATTTTGTTACTTGTCCTTTTAACTTCACTATAACATGGATAACCTTTCTCCTTCCTTTTTTTTCGAGAGATTTGCTTAAATAGGGGCGGAACTGCACAGGTCTGTAAGTTTTGTTAGTTTTTTTAGCTTACCCAAATCCTTTTCAGAACGAATCATGAGGAAGCCAGAGGGTTCTGAAGCCGTTGTCGAAGTTAACAAGAAAGGAGAGGAACAGGTCGTGCTGAATCTGAGCGTTGTTTCCGGTATGCTGTGCCCGCTTGGTGCTGTAAACCTCTCCAAAAGCCATCTAGAGGTGAGCCGGCTAGAACGACGACATTTGTTTCTAACTTCAAGTGTTTACGTTGTAGGATCTGCCAGATTACTTTGACAGCCTTCCCAAACTGCGCGTCCTCAATGTTTCTGGAAACATGCTCAAATCACTGCCTCGGAGCCTTGGCCGTTGTAGGTGAGGCTAACTGCCTTTTTCAATGAAAACTAATCTTGTGAACAGCTTCCTCGAGACACTGGATGCCAGTTTCAACCAGCTTGAGTATCTCTTCTTGAGCTTTGGAGCCAACCTCCCGAGACTGAAGCGCCTCCACCTCCAGCTCAACAAGCTCAAAGCTCTCCCGGAAAGCATCGGCAAGATGGCCTCCCTCGTCCACCTCGAGGTCCAGTTCAACAAGCTGGTGTCGCTGCCTCCCACCATCGGCGACCTCAAGAGCCTGCAAACGCTCGACGCCAGCGGCAACTTTAGCACCAGCGTCCCAGACTCCATCGGTTACGCCTCGTCCCTCACGTACTTGGATCTCAGCTACAACCAGATCGCGAGGCTGCCACTCTCGGTGGGAAATCTCACGCAGCTGCAGGAGCTCAAGCTCTTTCACAATCCTCTAGTAGTTCCCCCACTCGAAGTGGCCGAGCACAGCACTAAAGCGGTGGTGGAGTACATGTCACAGGAGCTACAAAAGCCTCCCGGCGCTAGGCCGAGGCGCCACTTTGCTTTGCTTTCTAGTCTTAGGCCGCCGCTTCTTAGACCGCCGTGGCTTAGGGAGCTCCTTTGTCGGGGCTCGTCAATGGACTACTTCGTAGAACTCAAACAAACTTAAAAACCATCGTGTATCTGCCACGTCAGCAACTTGCGTGGAGATACGTGGCGAACACGTGTAAATATGCCACGTCATTATCCCACGAGCCGGGGCTTGGGATCGTGTCAGCTCGCGAGTATATAAGAGGAGGCCGGAGAAGGGGAGTGGTATCTTTGCGCTTGGGGCAATGACGCAGTTTATGAGGTTTTACCGAGACGCGTCAATTGCTGGTTGAAAACTATTTCCAAACCCCCTCGTCGTGTCTCCCTCGGGAGGCCGTCGAGAATTTCTGGAAGGCCCGCCCTAGGCTCGGGCCTACAAATCTTAAAACCAAGAAGGAATTAAAATTTTTTTTTTTATGAACATATTAAATATTTTAGTACTTGTCTCAGGTGATTACACTTTATTTGATGCTAGTTATTTTTCTATCAATTATTTATTGTCTGAAGATCAGAGTGGCGCAGCGGAAGCGTGGTGGGCCCATAACCCACAGGTCGGAGGATCGAAACTTCCCTCTGATATCTTAGCATTTTAATTATCTTTAAAGGAAGTTACCTTTAAGTGTTTGTTAAAGCTTTTGATGTGAGTCAAAGTGAAAAATTTTCAACATTCGTTCTTATCTTTCAGTGATGATGGAAAAGATGCAAAGAAAGAGATGCTGTCCAAGTATAAACGCGCTCGTTCTATGCTGGAACATTCATTAAACTGGGGAGAAAATGCAGGTCCTTGTTTCCCTCCGCTCCATGCTTTCTCGTCACTCTCCTCGTCTTGCTTGCAGACTGTGGAGCTCAAAGTCGCAATGGACTGCGAGAGGTGCGAGAACAAAGTCCGCAAAACGCTCGCCAACACCCTGGGTTCGCATTTCTCCCGTTCTCCGCTTCTATAAGCTCTGCTTCTCTTGTTTCCAGGGGTCGAGTCCGTCGACATCGATTTCCAGCAGCAGCGGGTCACGGTGATGGGCTACCTTCTCGACGCCAAAAAGTTGATGAAGAAAGTGAGGAGCAAGACCGGCATGCACGCCGAAGTTTGGAACCACCAGTACAGCAACGTCCAGCACGTCTATGGTCACATGGACACCTCGCTCACCAATCTCTTCAGCTCCGCCAGTGACTACAACACAAACAATTACTACGACCGGAGCCACCGGATGCATCATGGAAGCACTTACAGGGTCAGCGACAAGCCGGCTTACGACCACGAGTATGGCAACCAGAAGCAATACATGCCGCCAGTGGATGACAGTGTCACCACCATGTTCACGGACGAGAATCCAAACGCTTGCTCCATCATGTAGCGCTGCGAGCCGAGGAGCTGTGAAAAAAACATCAGTCACAGAAGAGAGAAAATATTCGGATGATGCATTGTGCGTGTACTCACCTCTTGAAGTTGCTCGCGTAATCGCATCAAAGGTTGCCTTTCAGCTGCAAGCGCACCAAGAAAAATCATAATAGCCTTCTCAATAATGTAATGCTGTAAAGGAAAAGCTTACCGAATCTCTTTACTGTGTAGTCTTCTGTGAGCCGCAAAGCATTCAAGCTGATTCCCTCGAATAGAAAAAGCACAAGAAAAAATGATAGCAAGACACCTGATATTCCTCCTGCCTCACGAAGTTTGATATTTACAGGTGCCTACTTACTAGAGTCCCGCTTGAGAATGGAATAAAACTTCTCAAACTCGGCCGTGTGCTCGAAAGTGGAAACAAAATCGCAACAAAATCTTAGCACTGATGCAAGCAGCACGAAGTTATCCTTTGCAGCAGCCGCTTCGAGAAATCGCACACAGGGTGGCGACTCAACCTGCACATGCTTAACAGTTTTAGATAGAGCTAGAAAAGAGAGAGCGAAAATCAGACCTTGTTCTGACGTATATACCGTAGACCTTCCAAGAGCCTACCTTTGTGCAAAAGACGCTCAAGGTAATCTTTGTGAGCATGCACCTGCCTCAACATGTCCGTTCCGATTTCTTCGAGTTGAGAACATTGCGCTCCAATGTCCAGCAACTCAAGAGCAAGGGCTTTTGATGGCTCAACTACCTGTCCAACAAGAAGCACATTAACAAACTATTAGCAGCACTTTTAAGATTTACCTGATCAGCAACAATATGCTGAATCCTAGCATAGCACTTGTCTCTTGCAAGCAGTCGCACAAGAAGAACATAGAGTCCTGGTGGGATTGTTAGTTGCTCAGCTCTTGCACTGCAATAATAGAAAATCACAGATGCTATTTAATTTTTTCATGAGATAAGGAAATAATGCATACCTTACCTCCGCAAATACTGTACCATAACAGCTACCAAAAAGCTGTTTTCAACTGCCATTCCTTCGTCGATTACAGCGAACACGTTGTCTAGCATTTCCTGAGGCGAAACATGTGGACTGGCAGCTTGATTTTCCGTTTCCGAGAATCTAATGCTGCTACTTTCTTGCTCAGGTTCACGAATCTCTTGTTCGCCGTTGATAAAAGCTCTTGCGGAACTAGCTCGAAGACTCCCGTAAGAAAGTTCTGCTGCGTTGCTTATAGCTAGGGCAGTAGCAAATGCAGCAGGTTGCATGCCTGGAGTTAGAATCAATGGCATTGACGACATCCTTCCTATTGGGGTACCCTTGCTTGAGGAACGCTTCACATGACCGAAGGCGGAAGTTAAGACATCTAAGGCAGAAGAAACCTGGGAAAGAGATCTCCTCTCCATAATAATGGAGCGCAAAATAGAGCACGATAGCTGTTTCGCCTGCAACGTAGGAGATTAGTATGCCACACATAAGTGACGCAACCGCTAACCTTCGCAGCCTCGCATTTACGCCTTTGAAGGAAAGCTAAAAGAGATGAAACGTCCGATGAGCTAGCTGCAACAGCCTGCATACAAACAAGAATGAAACTGGATACAAAGGAGAAATCGCATGCACCTCTAAGTCAAGTTGGATCTTCCACAAAAGCCCGTGAGTATGGTCCAAAATGACGTCAGGGTTAACAAAGACCCAACCTTCTCCATAGAGACTTGATTCGTCTGCTCCTGGCTTTTCCGGACTGTTGGCTGGTTTGTACTGCCGCAAAAGAAGAGGCAATGGCGCAGATATAGGAACTTTTGTGTTGGCAAGGATGTCATAGAGCAGCACCACTTTGGAATCAATCTGATGAACAAGAAGTACGTTGTCAACAACGCTGACAGACACATTTGACGCATATGTTGGTAAGGAGCCCTGAAAACATTTGGAGATCTTCAGCTAAGTGGCAGGAAAACAGAGTCTACACCTGCGAAATGACAGCATCACGGTAGAATCTGTGGATATGAAGCATCTTAGCCAAAGGATCAGTCTGCAAGCAGTACAGCCTTCCGTACCTGCAAGTGAAGACGGTCATACAACTTGCCTTAGATGCAGCGACTTACATGGTAGCAATGAACACATTCTCCGAGGACAAAACAAAAGTTCGGTGATTCTCAGATTTGGTGAAGTTTGCATCGAATTTAGGAAGCCGGACAATCCCCCCTGCGGAGAACTGCAGGCACACGCAACTTAGAAACTGTCACAACAGTACGACCCAACCTGGTAGCCAGAGAGTGTTTTGCACTGCGTCCCAGATGCCAAAAGTACCAAGCGACTTTCGTGCGTGTAAACAAACCAGCTGACAGACTGCTTCTTCTTCTCAACCAGCTTCAACTTCCCCTTCCCAAGACACAAGGAATTCAGCTCCAGACCACTGCCCATGAACGAAAGCATTTAGAAAACTCAAAAGACAAACTTCTAGCATTCACCTTGTTGTCACGATCACCACATCACAGTCCGGACAATCGGTCCAAAAGAAACCAAGTATCCTCTCACTGGAACTCTTGCACGACTGCTTAAAGGAGTTACAGTCTTCTCGGTTGATAAACTCGATCTCCGTGTTGGATCTAAGAATGGCCAGGATCTTACAGTCGAGCGAGAACCTCACGCCAAGAACAGGGCCCTGGCTTATCTTCACAACGACTGGATCCGAAGGTAAAGTATCAGAGCTTACAGACCAGGAATAAATCTGGTAAAACAATGGCCACATAAGAAGGAAAAACTCGAAAGAGTGTTTTTTTCGAACAAACCTCCCCAAGAGTAGGGACTAGCAGCAGCTTGTTTGCGTCGTCGTAAGTTACTCCCAGAGCTCCGGGAATATCACATCTAAATGGTGGATACTGGATGTATGCATGAGACATGGCGCCCGATCCGCTATCGTAAGACCCAAGAGCCATTCTAGCTTCGCAAAGACCATTATTTACCCCTGAGCTGCAAGGAGGAAGAAAGTTTTTCGATCGATCCGACCCAAAATGCGAAAGAATCGAAGCAAGAACTCACCACATTCTTCATGCAAGCCCTCAGCGCCAGGAACTCCTTCTCGCACATCCCCTTCTCAATCGCCGCGGCCTTGCCGGCGACGCATTGCCCGTATTCCTTCATCTGAGGCGCCAGAATCTCGGAAATTTTCAGCCGAGAGAGGAGAGCGGGCACGAATTCACCTGGAGTGGACAAGACGCGATCACTCGCCGCAGCGGAGATTGGAGCGCGCGATCGGCCATGCGAGTAAAAACCCTAGTTCTTTATCTAGGGTTCTGAGCTCTCTCTCACTTGGAAAATGCCGCTATCTCGCATCGATCTGGCGCAAGGCGCGATCTAAGGCGCTGGAATGGATCGCCGTGGCCTGGTTCTCATCTGCATTGCCTGCATTCTCGTCGATCGCAGCTCCTCCTTCCTCACCGACACGGGAAGAGAGCTCGAGGTCGAAAATTTCAACGATCAGGGCTGGAACAGCGGCGGCGACACTACTCCAGCTGAATCCACCACGCAGGCCACGATCTTGGGCTTCCTCCGCCACGATGGATCGCTCGATAACGAGGTATTGGCCAGGGAATCAGGGGAAGAGGAGAATCCCGAGATCGTGGACAGCGATCTGGTTCTTAGCAGGAATTTCAGCGCCGAGGAGGATGTGAATGGGAAATCTTACAAATTCGAGGAGTGTCCTCCCAGGATGAAGGAGTATATTCCCTGCCTCGACAACAAAGATGCTATCGGCCGGCTTGCATCCACTGAGCATGGAGAGAAGTGGGAGCGGCATTGTCCCGCTGGGAAATCACGACTGTGTTGCATCATTCCACCTCCATTGGGATACAAGCGGCCTATACGGTGGCCCAAGAGCCGGGACGAGGTGATAAAAAATGCGAAAGCTTTTGTTCTTCGTAATGTTCTTGAGCTAATTTTCTTTGCAGGTGTGGTATAGCAATGTTCCTCACACACGCTTGGTTGCTGACAAAGGCGGGCAGAACTGGATCCAGAGTCAAAAGGATAAGTTCGTTTTTCCTGGTGGAGGAACACAGTTTGCTCATGGAGCTGACCAATATCTGGACCAGATGGCTGAGGTTCGTGCTTACTTTCTTTCATGGTTTTGATGGGGAATTTTTTTTTCTTTCATCAGATGGTACCAGAGCTTGCCTTTGGTGAACGCACACGCGTTGCGTTGGACATTGGTTGTGGTGTTGCAAGCTGGGGCGCTTATCTTCTCTCTCGCAACGTTCTGACGCTTTCCATTGCTCCGAAAGACGTGCATGAGAATCAGATACAATTTGCACTCGAGCGTGGGGTTCCTGCAATGGTGGCCGTCTTGGCCACTCGTCGGCTCTTATATCCAAGTCAAGCATTTGATCTGATCCATTGTTCTCGTTGTCGTATCAACTGGACTCGTGACGGTGAGTATAAGAACATGTCTTTCCTTGACTTCTAAGGCAGTTTGTGCTATACAGATGGTATACTTCTTGCGGAAGTTAATCGCATAATGCGCGGCGGGGGCTACTTTGCATGGGCAGCTCAGCCTGTTTACAAGCACGAGCCAAGTAGTTTGCAGGCATGGAACGGTATGTTTCTAAGCCTCTCAAAATTTGGATTTTGCTTATAAGTTTCCTGCATCCGGCAGATATGGCAGACCTTGCCAAGAACCTTTGCTGGAAACTAGTTGCCAAGAAAGGCTACATTGCAATCTGGCAGAAGCCCGTAGATAACTCATGCTACTTGAAACGGGCACCGGGAACACTCCCTCCGCTTTGCGATTCAAACGATGACCCTGACTCTGTCTGGTATCGTAGAGACTCCATTTCTGTGATTAATACCAAGTGTTCTTCCTCTGGACAGGTATGTAGCAATGAAGGCTTGCATCAGTCCTTTACCTGGAAATGGACTCGGTCGTAACATCACCAAATGGCCATCGAGACTGTCCCTTCCACCGGAACGTTTGAAAGCCGTGAACTCAGATGCATTGCAAGCCAAGCCTGAAGTGTTCCGGGCCGAGCAGCGGTACTGGACTGCCATCGTTGAAGGATACCTGCGAGGCCTTGGCCTGAAGAAGGAAGACATTCGAAACGTAATGGACATGCGAGCAGGCTATGGAGGGTAAGTTTCTATATTCTTTTGCATGGATGGAATGTTATGAAAGTCTGTTGCAGGTTTGCTGCGGCTCTAATCTCGCAAAAGGTGGATTGGTGGGTGATGAACGTTGTTCCCAAAAGTGGTGTAAATACATTACCGGTGATTTATGATCGCGGACTGATTGGTGTTGCTCACGACTGGTATGTGACGAGCAAGTTTTTCTTCTACTTTGTGACTAGTGATTCATTCTGCTTAGGTGTGAGGCCTTTGACACTTACCCACGAACTTATGACCTTATACACGCTGCGGGAGTTTTTATGCTCGAGAAGAACAGGTATCTTATTGGAAAACCGTTGTACGAAGTATCTTCATATCGACTTACAGATGTAATGCTGCTCACATCATTTTGGAAATGGACCGCATATTGCGTCCCGGAGGCTGGGTGCTGATACGTGAATCTCGATACATGGCAGCCGAGCTCGAGTTCCTGGCAAAATCCGTCAAGTGGCACACCCGCATCCTGGAAACCGAGAGTGGTCCTTATGGGAAGGACAAGCTTCTCTCCTGTCAGAAGCCGCTTCCCAATTTTTGAGCTCTTCGTCACTGCGCAGCACTACGTATCGAAAACTTACCAAAACTCTCATAGTCGCAAGCTGCTTATCAAACCTTGCATTTGATTCAGCTGCTTCTTGAGCGATGCGACGCTGTTTAGAGTACTCGACGAGGGATCCATGCCATCCTCAGCTGCCGTGGTCCTGACGTCCATCTCAATTCTCCTGCAAAGATTCTGGGACTTGCACACCAAATCTTCGAGCTGGTCGGCCAGGACAGTGGTGTTGATATTCTCTTCTCGAGTTTCTTCTCGAGGTCTGAGAGAGCTGTAGGGAGTGGAAGAGTTGCAACTGACGCTGCTTATGCTGCTGGCTCGCCGTGATCTTTCAGGACTCATGTATTTCAGCTTGTCGAGACTTCCACTTCCTGTTTCTCCAGAAGAATAATAAGACGATGGTCATTTTCGGGAAGAAAAAGCTCTTGCTCACCTAGGCTACTTAGTTGGACGATGGCGGCTTGGCCGAGAGATCCCTGTAGCTGCAAAAGTCTCAGCAATCCCACCGTGATTCTACTCGCTGCTTCGGCCTCGGCTTTAGCAATTTCTACGAGAAACTCGAGCTCGTCTTTCGTTGCGTCCATTTCTATCTGCAAGAGAGAAGAGAGAGATAAAGTTGACGTTCGATCTATATGGTTTTCTTACCGGTTCTCTCACGGCTGCTCGGACACTGTCAACTATCCACTCGCCGATTCCAATCTCAGCGTCTCCATCGCCACCCTCTCTCGCTACCAAGCGGACTTCCAAAGCAAGCCCATCGTTACCACTTCTCCGACTTATATCCACTGAAGATAATCCGCCATTGTCCAGCGGCTGGAAACTAACAGCCCTTCTTGGCTTTAACGCTTGAAGCCCCTCGAGCATTACCTGGGAGACCAAACCAGCAAGAAAACCTCGTCGAGTCAGGAAACGCATTTATTTGTCTAACGAATTCTTACGAGCAAGATCTTCGTACCGTTATTCTTTGTGGCGGTCGCTCCTCGGTGCTAGTGCTGTGATCGCCCTTAGCGCGCAAACACTTAAACGTAGAATGCCAACATGCGTCTTCGTCCGCTATATTTTCCACGCCTTGCAAAGCGAATAGCCAGTCTATAAGCTGAATATCAATCTCTACGTTGTCTGGTCGTTTAAGCTCCCATGAATGGTCATCGTTCGAGCTAGCAGAGATTTTTCCTGTCATAAAAAAAAGGGCACAGCCGCTATGAACAAAGAAAACGTATGAAAGCTTATAACTTTACCTGTATGAGAGCCTTGAAAGAGATGAGCCAAAGGACCGCCGGAGACTCTTTTCAACACCTCCTTGAGATCCTCTCCTGGTCCTCCATCAGGTCCAAAAACACCAAATCTGTGTAGCAGTGACTCCGTGTAAATCATCCCACCTCCCAGTCTCACTCCGGATATCTTTGCAATGGCTTTCAAGCTATGGCAGTCAGCGTCCTCGGCCCTGTAAGGCATCATATGGACCACGTTGACGTCAAGAAACGGCCTGTTCTCCTGTGAAGCTTTCTCTGCAGAAGGAAAGTTTTCGTTCACCCACAAGATCGCTCTCATGTTCTTCTGCTCCAGTAGCTTTGTGGAGAGCGACTCTCCACACTGCTCGGATTCCGTGTCGACGCACTCCACGCGAACACTCTGCCAGCACAAAGTTGAAGAAACTGCGATGGCTCCGCCGAGAGTTCTGTGTGTGACCTTGAAACGTATCCCACTTCCGATAAACTTGACGAGTGGAAAGCCTTCTACGGACTGCTCGGAAGAACCCGACTCCAGAAACTTAATCTCCAAATAATCGAGGCCGAGAGTAACCGCACTGTCGGATGGAGCCGCTTCAATGAGTCCCCCAAACGATTTGGACTTGCTAAGATCCTGGACTCCTCCATCGGTTTTCATGAGTGCCTGGCCAACCTTTCCCAAGTAAGAATACATCTCTAGCACGAACAGCAGCTGCTCCACAGAACTGTTGGAGATGAAGTGATTCCATGAGATTCCCAGTCTCACGATGCCCCCTGGGGGTGGAACCTTGAGCAGCGGCAGGCCGTCGGGTGTAACCATTGCAACTTCCAAGCAAGGCTCCTTCAACTCTATGCACTGCCAAAGCCGAAAGTCCCCACTTCTACCGGTTTCAAGAGCCACGCTCACGTGATTTGCTCGTATGGCCCATCTTTTCTGGCTTGAATCTGGAAGTTGGCCTTTCCAAAAAGAAAAACACGCTGGATCTTCGTCGAGCTTCAGCAAGCCGTAGGATAATGTTGGACTCTCCACGAACAGCAACCCCTCTACATGCAATCTAGCCCCAGTAAATCCCTCGTGTCGTCGCTGGTCGTCGTTTTTTTCAGGATCCATCGGAACGCTCAGGTCAAACTCCCTGAGAGAAAAGTGCATACTGTTCAGCGACGTGTTTGGACGCACCACCCCAGGCTCTACCAAAATACCGTCCGCCAGAAAGGAAGAAATCTGTAAACAAGACTTTTCTTGAAGAAATATCTGCAGCAAGCACGTAGTGTAAGTTTTGAGAAAACAAAAACGTTTGGCAAAATCACCTTCAGAGGTTGACACTGAATTACGGTTTGTGAGGCCATTGCTGGTGGTAAAGGAGACGGCGCTAGCTGAGAAGAATACAGGCTTGCAACAGATGTACTGCTGTTCTTCGAAACGTGAAAGTCGAGAGGATAAATCTTTGGCCACAAGTTTTCGCTGGCTGCAAAACCAGAATGTCATTATCACAGACGACCCGAAAGAGTAACCAAATACCAAATGTCGGTACTTCAAATGGAGCTTGCGGACTCATGCTAGGCTGAACCAGAATGCAGGGAGGTTGTAAAAACATATCCCTGTAAATTTATGGGTCGGAAACGTCTGCGTTTGCAATGCGTGAAGCATACCTTAAGAACAAACCTCCCAAGGAGACATTTCCAAGAGTTTTTACTGAACCATTCTCAGGGATACTTGCCTGCATTATCAGCACCATAACGTGTTAAAAGTCTAGAATTATGAAAATTTACTTACCCGTTTGTAGCGAAGCGATTGGGCTAATAACTCCAGCCTGAAGTCTACACAAAGATTAGCTCAAAGGATACAGAAAATACAAGAAAAGCAAACTACCTGCGTCTTTGATCCCAAGAAAAATATGTTCGACACTTACTCCAACGAGAGTACAAGAAGGTGACTCGTCCACCTGTAAGAAATGGTCTTTTATTCTAGTCAGGTATCTCTTTAGAAATAGAATCCCCCTAGCTCACCATAGCATTTGTCGGATGTACGTCTCCACGATTCAAGCAGACATAAAACCCGGTCATAAACCTTAGCAGCGCTCTCAATCCTAAAGCCCAGATTTACAGCAAAAAGGATTAGGAAACTATTGAAACAATTACCTGGTTCACTTAACGCTGGACAGACAGCTTCCGGTATTAAGAGTTGAACCTCCAGTCCCAGAGGATTGTTTTGCTCTGTCCGGTGCATTGTGATCTTTCATAAGAAGAAAACGTTGGTAAATATCTAGCAGCATCAAAGATTAGAAACTTACATACGCCGTGCCAGAAATATTGTCAAGGAAACGCTCTCCCCCGAAAAACAATCTTTTAGCTCCATCGGCATCTTTACTTCCGCTGGAAAGCCGCTCATCAGAAAACATGTCAGGATGGGGAAGAAGGTCCACGGAGAAGGATTGCCATTCTAGCTTCTGCAAAATACAACACAGCAAAATAAGTCTATTCATCATCGGTAAAGCTTGTAGCATAAAAACCTTGAAAACGAAGATACTTTTCTTGTCAGAGGAGAAGTTCCTAGCCTCTCTGAGATTAACAACCTTCGGCAGTGACAAACAAAACAGAATAAAATGTAAATGAGCATTCATTGAAACACAAATCTTACCTCCCAATGCTCATTGGTCGTGTATAAACTAAGACCTCTCATTGTAATAGCTGCTAGCGGTGGTGTCCTTCACAGCAAACAAAAATAATAAGCTGGAAGAGATAGCAAAAACCATACCATGCAGCTCCTCCACGAGAACCACCTCGTGTTTCTATCATAAGGTTCACTGTGCCAACTTGGATCGTCATTCCATCGGCAATCTGCGACCAAGGTGAAAAAGAAGTAAAAAATAAACATAAACGGTGAAGATTTTCGCGTCTACCTGATCAGCGAATCCATAACTGGTACTCTTTGCAGAACTGTTAGTTTGGATTCTACGCAAAACCAAAAACGAGTAAGTTAGCAGTAAAAAGAAGAAAAAGAGAGAGTAGCGCACCCGGCAACAGGATCACAAGCCTCGGCATCCGACTTTTCAGCAAGAACTAGATCCAGTTTGTCAATGTCCACAACAATCGGTTCGATCTTGACGTTAGAGATGTAAGGGATCTGGAGCAAGAACAGGAAAAAATCCCTTCCATTATCTAATGCAGGAAGGAAATGCTGGCTTACAGTGAGCTCCAATTTGCCGACTCTCGCTTGAGCGACAAAGAGCGACGGCGGCAATCCCAGAGTGGAATGTAGAACGGCGCCATCGACATCTGCGTGATCTCTAGGTTGATTGATTCTTGATTGACAATCGAAGAGAAAGCGATATAGCAATTGCATACCCAGATTGTGGAGCTGGACGGATCGGCCCTGGAGCTTGAATTGATCCCGGGTGAAGGAGCGCAGCCAGTACTTGAGCTTGGACTCGAGCGCCCTTGCGAGAAGGGACTCCATTTAGCGAGCCAAGCCCTAATCACCATTGTGAAGGAATGCACTATTTGAAATAGAGAATGATATGTTTTAAAGATTAGAGATTATTTTCTTTCTATAACTTAGGTGGAGTATTATGAGATCTACAAGAGCATTGGAGCCTTCCCGTGATCCAGCTCCTTGATTGCATCCGCATAGATTGTCATGCGAACAATCGCATAGGTCTCCTTGTTGAAGTTGCGATCGGCCAGCTCCCCGGCCAGATCCATGGCCGCCTAGCGAGCATCTTGCGTGGTGTGAAAGTACTTGTCGATGATCCCGGCCTCGAATGCCTGACGAGCAGTGAGCTTGGGACTGAGAAGAAAGGCATCG